CTAAAAGTGTCCAAGGCTTGTTTTCTTTAAACTTAATTAAGTTCACACTTCTGCAAGGGTGGTTGTGTTGTGATAAACACATAAATGTATTGGCTTTTGCAAATCATAGGTGTGGTTATGTGGATATAACTGTACGAGTTTACAGTAACAGAAACAAAATACGCTAACACAAGAGTAGACAACAAGTTAAAAAGGTTCAGATCTCTTGATCAAAACAGAATCACATAGCAAAAGAATTTGTAAAGGTAAAAGGAAAGGGGGGGGTGTGTGTGTTTGTCCTGGGTTCAGCATTAGCAGTCATTTTTCTCCTTCTTGGTAGCTGGTGTATTGCAGTGTTTTGACTTTCAGCTCGGGAACAGAGCTGATAACAAGGATGTTTTGGTTTGGCCAAGGACTTTGTGAGCCTCATGCTCTGCCAGGGACGAGGGGAAGCCGGGAAGAAGCAGAGACAGGACACCTGACCCAAACTGACCAAAGAGGTATTCCATACCACAGCACGTCATGCCCAGGATGTAACTGGGAGTTAGCCGGAAGGGCTGGGGGACTGCAGGGTTGGAGGAGGTATGCGTCGGTGCTTGGTCGGGCTGGGGGGCCGAGTTATTGGTCGGCTGGTGCTGAGGTGATGTATTCTCTTCCCTTGTTATTTCCTTTATCATTGTTATTATTGGTAGTAGCAGTAGTGATTTGTGTTATACCTTAGTTACTAAACTGGTTTTATCTCAACCTGTGGGAGTTGCATTCTTTTCGATTCTCCTCTCCGTCCCTCTGGGAGTAGGGGGAGGGAAAGAAGGGGGGGAGTGAGTGAACGAGTTACCTGACTGGGTTTAAACCACGACAGGTTTGAAGCTTGATGTAAGGAAAGCTAGTGCCTGGAAAACATAGAATTAAAGTACTTTTTAGTTTAACTTAGGTTGTAGAAAGAGAACAATCTTTATGTTGTAAGTCTGTGGAATGTAGTGGCCCCACTAAACATGAGTCAATTGTTTCACACTAGTCTTCTAAAGTAGTTTCAAAGAGCAATGTTTGTGTTTTAAGTCTGTGGTGAGATAACAGGATTTAGTGACCCCACTAAACATGAATGAGTTATTTCACACCATCCTTCTACTTATCAGTTAGTTCAGAGACAGTGCCTCCCAAGCATCTGCTAGCTTGGGATACTCGTCTGCCCATCCTGCAATAAATTTTGCAGGAAGGTCACACTGTTTTAAATCTTTGCTAGTTATCAGAATAATTACAGATGTAGCTGGTTGTGTGATTACTGGAGCGTCCAGCTGTGCCAAAGGTGAAAAGTACACTGTGAGGAAGACTGCTTACTTCATCTTGAAGACCCCTACTCCCAAGAGGAAGACTGTTTACTTCATCCTCAAGACTCCATCCCACAATCAGTGCGCAGATGCCAAGAGGAGGAGACTTATGATAATAAATTCTTGAAGCTAGTTATAATATCCCCTGCCTATATGCGAGAATTATGAATATGTATGTAACTAATGTAATAGTGAAAGTATATAAACCTGTAACAAATGCTAATCATTTGTGCCTCTGGCTACGGTCATGCACTCAGCGCTGTTGCTTTTGCTTTATTGACTTTGTCCCTCAATAAAACCTTGTTATCTCGTTTAGAGGAGTGAGATTGGATCTCACAGTGTGATGAGTGCTATGTTCTGCTAAGTTGGAAACTGGGGAGGGAATTTTCCCTGAACTCCAGGGAAGAGGGAGTTATGGAGTTATAGCCACCTGTACTGGGATTCAAGCACACTGAATTGGCTGTCTGAAACCTGTCTGCTTGGCACTAACTGCAAATGGGTGAGCCTTTGGCCTGCAGCTCAGCCTTAGCATTGCTTAGGCAGTGTGTGTTATGAGGGTTCTGTAGTCATAAATCCTACAGTTGTGAAAACACAAACCCAAATGAGCTCGCCAGGCACAAAAATACAATGTATAAACCTACATATATAATAGACATAAAGAGTAAGTAAACTTCAGAAGTGCTGGTATGAAACATTTTGAAGTAGTAGTGAAGAAAAAAAAAATGAAAAAGAATTGTCATTGCTCTGCCTTATTTTCTTGCTTATAGTAATAGCCAGTGTGCAACTTTGCCAGAAATACATAAAATAAACCGAACTATGGTGACTCACAGCATGAAATGACACTCTCCTAGCTCTCTTCATTGCTGCTGTTGTAATTCAGAGACCCTGCAAGTGCCTAGTAAAATATTGAAAATGGTGATGGATTTAGTGTCCGCTGGTATGCATGGTAAGTACAACTTACCACGTCATGATGCTGGCTCCTGAGCTCATTGTTTTCCATCTGGTCTGAGTGTGGCCTTTTTGATCTGTAGTCCCAGTGCTGGAAGCAGCAGGGCAACCCTGCAGGTAGGGGAGCCTCCTTTGATTTAGGGAAAAGGATGCTAACACACCCAAGAGCTTGGGCTTCAAAAGGACAGCAGAGTCAGCTGCAAAATGAAGCTTATGACTGCATTTCTGAGCAGGCCCCCATCTCTCCTGCTGGTTGGGGAGCCCAGCTGTGTGTGCTGTCAGTGGAAATGCTGACATACCTGAGCATCTGTCATTGGATTTCAAGTGTGCCATTTCCTTTGCTCCCAGAACAATGAGGAAAGTGAGGGGAAGTCTGAACAAATGCTCTGCGTGACAGGGAAAGGAGAGGAAGCCTGAAACAATTAACTGGGCAGCAGTGGAAATGAAACTGCTGCATCCCACTGTGCTCAGGAAAAATTATTTTAAAATAATAAATAAAAAAGAAACACACAGTGCAGATGACCATAAGTTTCAAAAAATTACAGCCATCTGAGTTATGAGCTTGCTATATATTGTTAATGCTAAAGGTTAAGCCCGGCCAGCATTGACACATGAACCCTTGTAAGGGTCACTGGGATATCTCAGGAAGTGGAGTCAGGGATGTGACGGGAAGTCACTGCTTGTGATTCTTTGTTGAACTCATTGCCCATATAAAATGGTAGGTGCTGTTTTGGTGGGGAGCAGGGTGCAACAATTCTATTCTGGTGAAATTCCAGTTTGAGTAATTCCCTTTTGTCAGTAGATGCATTTGAATAAAAGTTCCCTTCTGTCCTAAACTGCTTGGCTTTTGACCAAACGTGTTCCTAGCCCTACTGCATATTATAAGCTCAGTTTTCCCTTGGGAGCATCCACAGCAGGTGAATTTTAGTGCAGGTATAATGCAAACTATTTCATAAGGGATGCATAATAAGATAAGATGGACAGTGCATACAGTAGGTCACAGTAAACAGTAAATGGTGCTGTCTACCCACTGGGATGCTCAGAGGGAGGTTATTGCTGTATCCTGACTCTTTGACTGTACTTGAGTTCATTTGTCATAGACACCTTTTATTGTGCTTTCAAAACATACTATATGACTTTGTGTTAAATTCATGTTTGCACTTCTGCTTCACCATTGAATCAGGCTTCATAATTGCTAGCCTTGCCTAAACATAAATCACACATGAACCCTTCTCCCTCCGCTGCCTAGGTACCAAAGGAAGTGTTCCACCAGCACATCTAGTACTCTAAAGGGTAAATGACATAACTACTAGCAAAAAAAGCTGCTTATCAAAGACACTTCTCCCAGATGTTGCTTGTGACTCTAAAGGAGTCACAATATTGGAACTAATCTGATACTGCGGTAGATGCACCGTGTCCCAGCCCAGGTCACTTGTTTTTGATGCTTTTTCAGTACCAGCTGTGGCACTCATCTGACCCAGCAGTATGCTGTTTCAGGGAGCAAAGTATTAAGAAATTAATCTTATCCCTCAAAATGGTAGATTTCTGGCAGCACAGCTCCCAGGGCTACCTCCCCAGGGTGTCACATGAGATCGTGCTGACTGCACGGGAGGAGGCAGGATGGCATGCCTGGAGCTGGGTGAGGAGGATCCAAACACCTCCTGCTCTGCCTGCTAGCTGCTAGGTCAACCGTAGCTGGGGTGTGAGGGCACACACATTCACAGGACTGTCTGACTTAGAAGGCATCCAAGAGCACTGTATGGGTTTTGATGCAAAGTCACACATCTCCCCTGTCCTGTGTAGATCTTCCAGCCTGGGGATCCTACTCTCTGCCTAAGCCTCCCTTTGCATTCCTAGCAAACAAATCCAGAGAGGGGAGTGGCTGAGACCTGGCCAAGGGAGTGTTGCACCTTAGGCTCAATTACACTCACACAACAGCACTGCACAACCCAAATCCAGAATTTGAGTGAAGGGTAAGCCTAGGGAAAAACAGAACAGAAGCAGGATTTTTTTTTTTTTTGGTTCTTTGTGGATGAGACTCAAAGCAAAGTATCTGATTTGTCCCAGCCTGCTGAAACAATGGTTGTGATTGCAGTGCAGGACTGTGTTGAGCAGGACAAACCAGCCATAATGGAGCTCAAAGCTATCAAATTCAAATCTTTCTGACAGCCAGATTTTTCTTTTCAGAGATGTTGCTGTTCTATGTCGTTCCCTGTGTGTGGATGTATGGACAAAGATGCATTTCCAGAAAACTGGAGAGGAGGTAGGAAAGTAATATATTACATAATTTTCTCTGTGATGATGAAACCAGCCATCTCATAAGCATTGTAAAGCTGTTGTACTTTGTACATTGTAAAGTCAACTGATCTGGTGGAGTTAGCTGGTGATATGCTGGAGCACTAAGAAAAATGTTACATCATGTCTGCTTTTGTGTAGGGTGCAGTTCACACTTATGTGCTCACATATATGCACCACGGTGTTTGCATGTCAGACACCAACATCCACAGTGTACATGAATTAATGTGCACACAAAGATATACACTCAGACAAAACCATGTGCACTCATACACCAATGCCAGCTGTGTGGCCTGGAGCTGGGGACCTCACTTTTCATTCTTGCCTTCTGAACACGTCCAGCTGCTCATACCGATTCCTGGCTCCAGTGCTGGAACATGAAACTGAGCAGGGTGAGCCAGAGGGCAGGAATGTGGTCATGTGCAGGTGGGCAGAGAGACACTGACGCAAAAGTGCTTCATATTAATTTAATTAAACCAACAGTGTAGTTGTTCATTTTTGGCAGAAACGGGCATTACAAGCATCTGAGTCACACTCTGAGGAGCCAAGGCTTTTGTTCTTATGTGAAAAAAACATATGTTGATGTCACAAAAGGAAGAGACGAAAAGGACAAGGATTCAAACTCTCTGAGATGGATTGTTGCCCTTCTCCAGAGTTTGCTCAGTGTTACAGAATTACAGAGTGAGTTTTTCTAATCATTTTGATACATGCATCTGCAGGGAAGTTTCACTTATCCACTGAGGCTACCTGTGGAGGTGGAATTACCCCTGGGAATTATCCCTGCATTAACTCCTCTACTTGTCTCAAGCTAGTTTCTGGGGTCTCTTCCTTGTACTTCTTCCAGGTGCTGATGTGATCCCCACCATCACACTACTTGAGCACTTTTCAATATTTGTCCCAGAAACATTCTTTTGAGGTAGGGAAGTACTACTATCCCAATTTTTAGACAGAGAACTGAGGCACTGAAAGGGTCAAAAATCATGAAGGACATCTTTAACAGAACAGTCACTTGAAGGAGAGACCCAGCCCTTCCTCCTGCTTCATAAGTGTTCTGCTGCTGAATCATGCTATTCCTTTGCACCCCTCTTGAGTATTAGTACCAATATATATTTTGCTAACATGAAGCCTTCCCTGGGACAAGGGAAGTCTTTCCCTGCTACGAGTATATGTAGCTCTCCATGAGTGCTGCCTCCTCCCTCAGGCAAACCACTGTGGGTTTCACAGGCTGCTTGACTGCATGGAGAGGGGCACCTCCACCTTTCAGATGTGCTTCCATCACAGCTGTGCTCCAGCTCAGACCAGTAGCACCAACCTACATTTTCCTCCCTGATGCAAGAGATATAACTGCTTTCTTCCACCAGTGCCCTGAGGCAGGCTGTGGTCCCAGGAACACTGACCTGTCCTTCTCCTGTTTTGATTTATAAGATCTGTCATCAGTGTTTGACCTTGTTTCACCTATTTTATAGTTACCAGCCTTCCAGCCATGCTTTTCTTTCATATAGGGACTTCCTTTCCCTCACAGCCAAAGAACAGGTAACTTGCTCTCACATGCCACAGACTTACTTTGCCTCTAAGAACAGCGGCTTTCCTTTGGAGCAGAGGCCTCCTTTATAAAAGAAAAAAAAATACATCTTTAAATACAATATCAGAACCTTAAAATAATTCTGTGTAAATAAATAGAACACAAACATCACAGTTCTCAGCCTGCAGAGGTTTCTTCAAAATGGATAACAATTTCTGGCCCTGCTATTTCACCTGGGGGTGATGAGCTATCCATACAGTCTGTCATATCTGGAGATGCTTCCTTCAACAGCATTTCCAAATGTACCTCGGTAACTGGACAATACTCTATGAGGAACTGGCAACTGCTGGTTTTTTGAGGGTGCCCTAACCCTTTTACCATTCATAGATTTATAAGTTATTTACAAACCAGGTTCAATCAGCACCATGGCTGCAGGGATTTCATCAGCCTCCTGACATGCTACTTTTTGCTGCCTTGGGGAAGCAGAGCTGGGCAGATGGCTGGGGAAGCATGGGTCTGAGGAATGGCCATCTACCGCTGCCTTCAAGCTCTGGGATCTGCTGGTGTGTACACAACAGTCCATCATAACCTCCAACCTGAATGAGGTGACTACTGTCAGTTGGTGGTGTGTGTGTGGAAGCTTTAGCTTCCTATCAGGAAGGAGTTTGTGTTCAGATATAGATAAGGCACATGAGAGATGTGTGCACCTGTGCAGATTAACACCACCAATATTACAATAGCAACAGGTAGCAGTGCTAATGGTGACAATTAATAATTGTCTCCAAGCCTGGTTTTAATTATAGGGCAAACACTGTTTAAGCTGGATGATCTTGGGATCTCAGCAGTCTTTTTAGCATTCAAGTTGGGTCTCCTCATGCATGGGGAAAGCTCTGTCCTCGACTCAAGAAGTTCACAGACTTCATCCATCGCTCTGGTGCAGGTCTCGAGGTTGGCAGCCAGCTTCTGGATTTTGGCCTTAAGCACCGCCTGGCTCACTTTAGTGACCTCCTTTGTGTACTCTGGCACGAGGAAGCTGTGGGAGCCACAGAAGACCATGAAGCAGACGGAGTTGTACAGCGAGATGGAGGCTCTCTTCTCTGACTGGCGCAGTGTGGGGTCCCCTGGGCCCTGCCCTCGGCGGAGGAACTCCAGGCAGCCAAGGATTTCCCTCATCTGTTTCCGACAAGTCATAGCGATTTCCTGCACCTTCCTCACCTCCCGGGAATTGCAAAGCACTAAGGAGAGATCGGAGGTGATGCTGACAGCCCCCCCAGCTGTGGCCAGACCCAGACCCACAGCTGACACCAGGAGAGAGGCTCCCAGTGTTGCCGGGCTGAGGGACAGCCCCACGATGGCTGTGACAGCTCCTGCAGCGGTCAGGGTGCTCCCACTGACATTGGCAATCAGGGACCTTTGTCGGAGCTTGCTGAGTTTACGAGCCGCCTTGTGAAGGTGAGCAATTTGGCCACGCAGCCTCCGTCTCTGATCCAGCAGTGCGATGTGGAAGTCATGTGTGGGGTCTAGTGTTTGAGGGAAGGCAGCACCATTTCTCTGCATGGCGCCTGTCCAGAAAAAAAAAAAGGCTGGATTGAGGTTGAGACATGCTCAGTGTGGACCACCATTTCAGGGATGGCATTCAGCCAGTTTTAACTTCGCTTCAACCAGCTACATGAAAGGGTTGCTGTCTACACACACGTACGCACCCACATACATGTGCACATACACACATGTTCATTTAATTATCATATTCCACTGTTTTTCGTGTTCCCTGAGAAGACTAAAGTGTCTTAAAAGCTTGAGTCAGGGATGCTGTTGTTATTACCTCTGAGAAGACACTTCCAACCCTGGGGACATAAATTCCTTTGAGATTAAGTGAGTCAGTGCCCAGAATAATAATGCTGCCAGAACTAATGTGTTGTTCCCATGATAGTATTCACTGGATCTACAGTGTTCAAGGGCATCTTTCACAAGAAAGGCCAGGCTCTGAGGAGGTGAAAGCCACCCATCCCAGGTTGCTATTTAGGGGTCAATTCCCATTAAAGGAGGATAGAGGGAAGCTGCTAAGGGGAGTCAAGGTCTGGCTTTTCCATCTAGGAGGTGAGAGGCTCATTGATGTCTCACATGGGTATTGTGAACATCCTTCCTTTCTTTTTAAGCCTAAGCAACTCTAGGTCTTGCAGCATTTTTTTTTTCCTATTGTAACTTGGTATCAGGGTCTGGAAAAAGATGGGAACCATTGTTCTGTGGTGCTTGGTACGACCAGTGGTGGTGGATCCCTAGTGACAGTGGCAGGGAGACTAATGGACCTTGTTTAAAAGATTCATGAAGGTCACATCAGAAAAGTGAGCCCACTTTCCATAATCATTCCCTTGGGAATGGGGGAAAGGGTAAATACAGGGGCCTGCAAACAGAAATGACTTGAAAAATATTGCAACGTTCCCTGGCAAGATAGCAGGAGAGTGTCTTCCCTTTTAGAGGATGAATCTTCATGGTTTCAGTATTAGGCGATCTCTGCCCTTTGTCACAAGGGTAGAAAAAAATGTTCCAATAAGCATTTGCAGGTTGGAAATGTGCTTTTCAAAGGAAGCCAGCATCCCTAACCCTACTTATATATAGAGCAACTGAGGCAAGGGAGGCAACAGGAGTGTAGCATCACTAGTTGTCTGGTGGGAGCAGAGATTTGCGCTTCACAGCATTACACTGTGCATAAGGTTGTGCTGCCTCTGCACCTAGCCAGGTCTAGCTAAAAGGATGTTTGCAGTTTGTAATGCCGTCATAGCTAAAAGACGTCTCTGTAGCAGAAAGATCCTGTCCCAGAGCTAACTAAGCAAAACTATTCAGTGCTGCAGTCACTTTTTCACTTCTAAATCTTCTGTACTATGTGAACTGGAGGTGCCTGGCCCCTCACAAGTGCATACTATATAGTTAACATCCTGGGGGCTTCATTCTGCTGAATCCCTGTTTCAGAAGGAGAAAACCTCCTAAAGTCTTTCCATCCTGAAGTGTGTAATTCTCACTGCAGTTTTTTTTCCCTTTTACTTGAATGGATGTCCTAATCCATCTCACACAGAATCCTTTAGGACCTCCCCCTATGTCCTTCTGAACAATGACCACAGGCTCTCTTGTTATCATTGGACCATTTGAGCCACTTGGTCCAGTGTGCTTTTCTTAGCTTGAGGCAGTGTCCTCTTATTTTTTACACTATAGTCAGAGATGAAGCTAAAAGAACAGAGATTAACACTTAAATTAAATTGATATTGGCACTGAAATGAAAAATGAGCATATTATCAATAACTTAAAACCAGATCAACATGATGATCATTAAATATATTGATTCCTGTGGCCTCTTAACAATTTGCTCTTCATATTTTCTCGCTGAGAACATTCTCAGGTAATAACAGCAGAAATCTCACTGCAGTTAATTGGAGAGTTATTCAATATATAACATAAACCACACAGTGATGCATGTCTTTTGAATACACTGATTATATACCAGCATAAAGGAAAATAAAGACAAATCCTGCTCCTAGAGAAAAATCTCCCCAACAAAAAAGGTATTAATTAGTCCAAAAACTGAAAACGCTTTTCTAATACAGTGCTCAGAGTCTCCAAAAAATACTAGTTCAAACTTACCTTTAGTTTCCAGCTGACCTCCCCAAAGACAAATTTTGATCTGTTTCTGGAGGAGACCAATTTATAGCTCCTGTGGACCAATTGCAGCGATGGGAATGCTTTGCCTCATACTGGGAGTTTGCCATTTCCTGCACTCCCTTGTGCAGAAGGATGTGACACACTGGAAAGTGACCTGTGGGACAGCTAGCACACATCACGTTCAGGAAACGATCCGGGCGAATGAACATTGTGTGTTCGCTTTTCCTGAAGTATAGAGGGAAAAAAAAAAGTCAAAAATCTCAGCCTGTTCCTGGTGCTGAGCTAGTGCAGTCATTCCCCCCTGGGGAACAGTTACGTTTCCTTTCCCTGAAATAGCAACTGACTTTCCTCAGTGCTGGAGCTGCTAATTGCATGATGACTGAAGTCCCCCCCACTCCCCTTCCACACGTCTAGACCCAGTGGACCATCAGCCAGCCAGCTTATTTCATTCAAGGCCAGTGTACTTTCAAAATCCCAGCTCTCTGGGACAATCGTGTGTGTGACTGGCTGGAGTAGAGCAGAGCTGTGTGAAAGCTGGAGCTGTTCTCCACTCCATAAAAGGGAAGCAGCTCCACAGCAAGACAATTGCTCTGAATTCCTATTCCTTGTCCTGAGTAGTTAAAACCATGCAGTATCCTGCAAAAGGAGGGATTTCCCTATGGATTTGCTCTGTTTCTTAACCATAGACACCATGATGGTTGAGAAAAAAAGGCATCTGGAAAAAAAATAGGTTGTTTTCCTGAGGTGCCTGCCCAGCAAAGATCACAATGAAAAGGTCATTGGGGTCCCCTCTTTTGCTGCCTTCTTTTGCCTAGAAGTTGTGCCCACATACAGATGCGGCCAGAGGGAGGAAGTGATAAAGGTGCTAGGGAGGAACAGCCTAAGTGTCATTCCCGGCATTGACTTTCATACTGAGACAGAACCAGCTTTAATCAAAGACAGGTTCTTTGGATGAGTTCAGGAAAAAAGGATTTTTTTTGGTGGCACTAAATGGTACAGGCTAAAGTGGCCTGTGGCGGCAGGGACATCTGTTTTCAGCAGTTGTGTTGAAGTTGTGGCATCTACTTTCTTGCTTGGTGGGCTTTTACTCTTCAGGGCTGTTTGGTGACATGGAATCTCTGATTGTGCCCCTTGTGTCCCCCTGGCCTAGCTAAAGCTACCTGGCTATCACTGAGTGGTAAGGCTTCACTGTTGAATGTGTGTGATATGTAGCCACGCAATTGCTGGGGCTGACCTTAGGAAAGCTCAAAGATCAAGAGGCAGCAGTCAGGGAGAGGAGGCTGTGATTATTCATTTGAATGGGAGTTTGGTTTTAGATCATCTTAAAATGACTGTGGAACAGTATGTGAAGTGTTTTGTCAGGGTGGACCTGCATGAGCTGGGACATGAATGAATATATAAATAATGTTGAAGAGCTACTTCAACGTGTCACAGACCTGAAAAAAAGAAAACATTGTTTTGAAGATGCTTAAATAAGCTGTCTAGTCTGTCACACTTTGTACACATTGCATTTTAACAGGAAGGTGAGTTTTGACATTGAAGGAAACTGTGCTTTAGCCCTTCCCTTTGTTTTAGCAAACACACTTGAATTGGAGCCCATGTGCCTTGGCAGAGGTTTACATTTGATAGACACAAGAGTTCTTTTGCACGTTCCCAAACATAATAGGCTTCTTCCTTATGCAACTGCAATCATGAGGACATGATTTGAGTGCCGAAGAGAAAATCTGCTTTTTTATTCCCTCACAGAGTTTCCTTCACACTGAAAGACCTGCACGTCACATAAGACGAGATGCTGGTCTCAGCCTAGGATGGTTTCTTATGGAATCATCCCTGGGCTCCTTCACCATCTAAAGAGAATGCTTCTCCATAATCCACCCCAATAATGGGGCGCAGACCCAGAAAGTAAGGACTCTCCCTAAGAACTACAGATGTCAACCTGACTTTAAAAATGAAATGTGATTAGAATAAGGAACAGTATTTCCTAGCGAGTTTCCTTACAGCAGTATGGTGTTACCTGTTTTATCCCTACTAACACTCTCACAAGCACCTCTTTGGGGAGAATGCTGGTCTTCTCTCCCAGCAATAATTACGGAGACCCTCTCCAGCAAAAGTGAACAAGTAGGAATGGGAGCAGGATGGGAGAGGAGCTTATTTTCTGAGTGCCTGCCAAGGACTGAAAGGCTTTCAGTGCCATCAGTGCACCCGCCCAGATGTGAGCACATCTGCCAAGTCACCAAGCAGGACCCAGGAGCCTGCTTGGAGTGAATCTTGGCTACTGGGGATCTCAAGACCTGTGGGGTAGGTCTGACCTTCACTAGGTAATCCTGCAACCTAGTGGAGGCCTCACCATCTTGCCTGATGCAGGTTTTCACCCAGTCCCTCTGCTGCTGCAGCCTCTTAATTCTTGGCCTGTCCAGCACTTGTGCTTGGGGGTGGAAGGGGCACAGCAGGTGTTTCACAACTACCTTGACCAAAAATGGTCCCTCTGCTCCACCCTTTCCCATCTAGCCACACCCTCTTGAGAGGGGCAGAAGCCAGACTCATGCAAATTCTGCCCTGGAGGCATTTTATAGGAGCAGATGACCAGCAAGGGGAAGGAAGGATGTTTTATTGCCTCAGCTCTCTTCCTTCCAGTGAATTTTAGCAGAAAGGACTGGTCTTTCTGCTGTTGTTCTCTCCAGCAGAAAGGATATATAGCAGAAATGTTTATTGTGAAGCTGTTTGGAGCTAGTGCAATGTAACATTTGAATTGTAAATGTGTAACATTTGGAGCTGAGTGTCAAAGGTATGCTATGACCAAATAAATTAGTACATTTGAGTAAATTTCCATTCAAATATCATCTTTTTAATGGACTTTCCATCACTCTTGGTACTTTCAAGCTTAACTGCTGGATTCTGGGGTCACTTGAACCAATGACAAGTTTTAACTCTTCACAGCCAGATATTCATTCAGATTCAGTGAGAACTTTAGTGGGCCAAAACTAAAACAAATAAAGCAAGTTAGATCAAAAAGGGCTGCATCGGCTTTTAGTAAACTTACCAGTAGATCCAAACTAAAGTTTTGAAAGCATTTCAGAATGAGATAGGACTGAGGTCAGTGGTGTGTGTGTGTGATTTTATCTAGGTTTGGAGAAAGCTACAAAGAGTAGGGCAAGGTGTAAGAAACTGGACAGCCTGTGGGATAGAAACACCTCTTGTTAGTTCCAGTTTGGTAGGATATAAGCCAAGTACATTGACTGTGCCTGTTCCTGCTTTGTAAGCAAGCTTTCATATAACAAAACTACCATCCTAAATTGCCTTGTCAAAACCCTGCCGGCATTGTCTACAGAGATCAAATATTTATTTGGACATGGAGATTGAATTTCTGCAATGGACTTAAACAGACCAGCTTATACTGTCATTGTCACCTTTAATTTATGTGTTTCAGTGCAGGCTGTATGCCATAAGGCACTCTTTCTGACACACAAAATCCCAAATCCCCACTTAGCCTGAATGCCTCCAGCCTTGCCTATGGAACAGATGATGTGACTGAGTGTGGCCATATGCAGGTTCTGCTGATACCAGTGCTGCTGGAGGATTTTTGTCTGTTCAGTATCTCAACAATGGCAGCAGTGCCAAAACAAGCAAGTCTGCTCCCTATACCCTCAAGCACTGTAGAGAACAGAGAATTATTGCCCTATTTCCAGAACTGCAAAGAAACCTAATAGCTTGGTGAAAAGTAGAAATTAGATAGCCCGGTTTCTTGTGGCTTTTCTTTCCTGTGGACTTCTTGATGACTGAGCTCACCTTGCAATATTTCTCTCAAAGAAAACAAGAGTCTGGATTCTTCTCACCTACATAACTACTTATTTTCATGAAACTAGCGAGAAGTCAGTGTCTTTGAAACCTAGGCTGCTTTATAAAATTCTGTCTGAGATTGTCTAGGAAGCTAAAAAAGCTACTGGTTGACAAACCTGCCAACAGTCCTGCTCCCGTAACCTTCATTTCTGTAGGGAGCTAGGCTAGAACAGTCCCTGTGTCTTGCAACCAAAACACAAGGCACAGATGTCCATGGTTTCTTATTGCCCTTTGCCAGTGTGAGTCTTGCAGTGTTTAGCTAATCTTTAGTTTTATATACTGCTCTATGGCCTGCCAGGATGATGTCCATGTCATCCAGTGCAGGAGGAGGAGCTGCTGGTGCAGGAGCTTTTGATGGCCTTTCTGTTCTGCACATTGGTGAGTCTGGGCAGTGCCCCCAGAACTGCAGTCTGAATGGGAAGGAAAAGCAGCTTAGCTGGGAAGCATGGCACTAATAATATGTCTTTACCAAAAAAAAAAAACCCAACTGATGGGCTGGAAAAACTCAGGTGTAAATCCCTAAAGCTAGTTTTGGAAACCTTGCAAGAACAGATTACTGGATAGATGTAACATTCATTAGCTAGGAAATTAGAATGTCTGCGTTTCTATCAGGCAGCACAGGACAGAGCTTTTACCTGGCCCCCCTATTTGTCCCCTTGCCAGGGGGACAGGTTGATTTCTGGGTTAATGATATCTAAGAGAGACACTCTCGACATCTCTTACGCCTCAATTTTTGTTTTCAATTGCTCTGATATGGCTGCTGGTGAGGTAAAAAGTCTTGGCTTTGACGGTACCTAGAAAAACTCTAAACTCGGAGGCTTGAGAGCACCAAGCAACAATTCACTAATCAATCACACTGGAGAGAAGGGCTAGGAAAAAATACTTTTGTCAGGAAAATGGGATTTAGTATCATCCCGTATTTACATAATGAAGACTTCCTCATTCCATCTCTGTATTTGTCACTGGCCAAGGCCAGAAAACTGTGGTGACTGGGCTCACCCTACATATCTATGTGCTTCCTTACCAGCTACCAGGGCAGTGGCTGGGCCACATGATTTCAAACAGGCTAAAAGAGCATCACATTGAACCAAGAATTTAAAAGAATAAAACAAAAAATAACTCGTGTGATGATATGAGGTCTCAGTGCATTGATATTGTCTGACATAAATTTTGTAAAGAAAACTTTTTTTTACTATTTTTATGAACTCTAGTATTTATTTTTATATATGAAAGAAAAAGAGTATGGTTTTAGAATCTGTGATTTTATTTAATCTTAATTC